GTTAGTCCTGTTTAGGACGACTCAAGTGAAAAGTTTGTAGACGACAGACAGTAAACAGATTGGGAGACAGTTTCCGATATCGTGGAGGTCACCCTTTCTGAACAACAGCACGGTCTTACTGGTCTTCTATTGAGTAGTGACCTTGGATTCAGACAGGTAACGTGTGAACAGCCGAGCAAGTGTGTTTACGAGGACTGGCGGAAGGTTTTATTCAAGTGTTCAGATCTTATCCTGTTTTGACCTGGTGGCATTCGATTTTAACCGACGCAAGCAATAGCATGGCGGATTTCGGAAGGGAGAACCGGTGGTGCAACATATCCATTCTCCTCTCAACATATCCATTCTCCTCTATTTCATATAACGGGAGATGTACGTGGATATCGAAGAGATCTGAGTAGTATTCGAGAATGATTTTCTCCATTGTCTATCTAGACGCTGTAACTGCACCGTCTGGGCGACAATCAACTTGGTTTTATAATTGGCGAAATTTCGGCTGACTTTGCAAATGCTTTTGCCACCTTTCACAGCTTCGACAATGACTGCTACTCTCCTCTCTCTAGGATCTTGCTTTATCGCTCGTCTGCACTGTTTTGCAAGTTCGAACGTTAGTAGGCGGTTGCCTGCAGCACGTGCGATTGCACACTGGCGTATCAACTCGAGTGTTTCTGGAAACAGACATCTCTTGGTGGCTTTTGAATTCTCAGCTTTTATAACGCTAACGTGCAGATGTTGAATAATCCAGTCGTATTCCTTGTCTATGTTATGCAGAATCGCATCTTCTTAACGGCGGACTAATGAATTGAGTAAATTTCAGTTTATTCTTGACGTTAGGACTTCAAGTTTTAAATTTAGCGGGTTTTCTCCTTCCCGCGAAAATTGAAGTTTTGCACATAGGAGGCGATGGCCTAATCTTGTCTAGCAATTAGGGACAATAGGGACACGAGTTAAGCAAAACCTTCGATTTACCATGATGGGTTCTGTTTCGTTGCGGTACTCGCCATTAGAACACTCCCACGACCAGCGCTTCGGGTGCGGCTTCTGAAGTTCCGAGTTATAATGGATGCTCATGGTCTTCACGATAAACTCAAAAATCTGTTCAATCTGTTCATTCCATTGTAATCCGTAGTTCTCAATGTGGCGCTCTTCAGACGTTCATCTTGGTGTGATCTCAGGGTTAAAATCTCCAGTGATGACCTTGAAAAATGCATAGTAGTTATTCGAACGAATAGATGTTCATGGACAAACTCGTGTTGACGAGAACGCTGACGCCACCGATTTCACCACTGTCGCATGTTCTGAGGAACACTTCTCCGGTGTCATAGACGGCGTTAAACAGTGGCGTCGTCTCGTCTCGGCCACTCCGATGACGTCGTACCTTATTCTTCCTCCTTGAACGATAACGTATTATATCGAGGACTCAGATGCAAGTGTGCGTGCTTTGTAGGTACGGATCGTTACCTTACTCCTGTGCGATTTAGGCTGCCTAGAACAACGCTGAAATTTTAGCAGCCTCCCCGTAGTCGTTCTGGCCAATGCTGCCGAATCATAGACTCTTCGGGTCCTCTTTGTTTAACTGTGTCTAGCGTTTCGAAACCATAGCTTGCTGACCTCTGAAAGTAGAGATCTGGATACACTCACACGTCACCTGCTGATTTTTTTTTTCAGAGAAGAAAACGAGCTTATTTGTTGGAGACAACTCCAAACTGTCTCGCATACACTTCCTAGTTGCTTGATTGCAGGTTTTTGGCCGAATTGATCCCGTTGAATACAATCAGCATCAACGAGAACACCACCCATACACGCATGCATGGATACGCCTCGCAAGTGCAAAAAGTTTGTGCCAAATCGGTGCAGCGGAAACAAGGAGTCCATCTCCTGGATCCAACTCTGTCCCAGGGAACCAAAGGTCTTTCACAATTGACTTCCTATGCTCCCACCTGGGGACGCGCTACGTAGCTTCGCGACTAACCGGTTCGAGATCCCTCATATGAGGGAGATCAGTGGACAGAAAGCCATGTAACAAAAAATTAGTGGTTCATTACCTCTGCTCTCTCCTTCTAAACCATAAAAAGCACTTATGTGGACCATGTTTACTGCGATCGCCAGTGTGTTTACAAGAAGACGCTATAACTTCACGAGGAATCCCAATTATTTTTGGCAACTTCGACAACATCGTTTGCTCCATCGTTGGACATAGCAGTTGTGGTTACTACTGTAGCCGAAGAGGATCTTAGAAGTGGAGCTGAAGACTGGTGAAGAACTAACACTTTTCCTTCCGCGTCTATCGTAAATTACAAATAACCACGAATGAAAATCTGACATACCTGGACATCTATCGATGCGCTGACATAATATATGCATGTTCATAACTCACAGATCTATTAGATCCAAGTTTTGGATAGTAATTTATAGGTTTACTATGGCTAAATATCCATTTAGGGAGTAAACCTTGTATTATCGTTAATCTGATTCGTAGACTTTACTTCTTAATGCCAGCTGCGTTATCTAGTGTTACTATTGCTTTGTTCCCATTAAAGCGTCAATGATTTATCTAAAGTACGTCTTTATTAACCTGGATCAATTCATTTCGTGGCAGAATCGAAGATTAACTAAACTCTCTGACAGGCATCTTTTAAGATTGTTTTCTGTTTTGAGCTTAAAATTTTAAATTCTTCGTGATATTTTCTTCTAATTTGTGAAGATATTTTCAATGCACAACAATAAATAACTTTCAGGACCAGTGTAGTCTCAATATTGAGTATGGACCATTTTTTTGAAATGGAAGGAAGAGATCTTGAGGGATTCCACAACTGTTGTGATGCGAACGTGAGACAATAAAGCTTTTTATCATTCAGTATGTTAGCGACTTCCTCAATTAATGCTCACCTTCTTATTGGACTTACCGCACAGTTAGGGAAGAAAGACCTGATGAGAAAAAAACGCAACTGTTAAAGCCTGGCCAAACTCAGATACAAACCCTACCTGCTCTAGGAACGACGGTTTTCCGCTAAAGGAAAAGAAGAACAACTGGGGAGATTTTCCACTTAATGTGGGAACACGTCCATCTAATCATATGTGTTAGAATATGAGTTTATGGCTTAGAGTATTCCCCACACAATTTAGTACTCAATTTAGTAAAGTGCACGTTAATGCGTTTCGTTCGCTCGTATGACAAGAGCGGCAAGACAGCAGGTATCACGCACCTTCTTAAGGTTTTTGGTGAAAATGTGGCGACAGTTCGTTCGCTATGATCTGCTAATCCACTGGTTTTGTCCTAGCTGAACTTTAAGATGTGTATGTCAAACAGCTGCGATTAAAGCTATCCGGTGTATGAAGTCACTTCTGCACGTCACACATTATCACCCAGAAACTACTATGTGCCAAAGTGGGGCGGCAAACAACTAATAGATGAGCTATCCTTTACCCATACAAAAAACTTCTAAAATTTTGTGTGAAATTTCTACACACCGTGTTTATTAAACATGAGGATACTTTATTGATGTTACACGTAGGCATACAAAAAGTGCAGAAGACCGCGTACACAATAATTGAGCCATTACTAAATTTAGACTGAAGCATATCATCTCGAGCGCATGCGGGTTTGACTCCGAGCAGGACTTGCCGAGCCTCTCATCCTATCGCTGTCATGAAATTCATGCCAAACTTGTCTTGAAAAACTTCATATCCAGCAATCCAAGTGGAAAAGCTCTAGCCCTGTTTCAGGACTGAAGGGTGAATCGCCTCGAATAGAAATCAACAAGAGTAATGACAAAAGAAAAACTATGTCTACTGTTGCAATAATAAAATTTATTACCAATAATAATATACAGACTACGACAATCAGCAACATCGAAAGAATAAAAATCGGAGGCAACACGAAACGATATCACAAGATGAGAAGAGCACGTCGATCACGAGAAAAAAAAGCGATCAACAAATCGACAGTGACAATGGAAAAGACCAAACACAGGAAAAGTAGCCATAGAAATCCCAGCTTTATCACTGACTGCAAGTGTGTAACAGGATAAACGGTGCACGAGTGTAAGTGCGATGGGACGTTGTCATTGGTCTCAGCGTAAGAAGGCGAAGCAAATTTAAGCTTCGAAGTAATGGTGTTCAGTATGATTAACGGAAAATCACATGAAACAGCAAAATATAATACAAATTCATAGAGAAGCTGTAGCCCACTCTTTCAGACAGTTATAGGCCGCAGAGGCATCTTCAGTGCTCGTGCCAGCCGTTTTCTGAAAATCGAATGAAAGTAAGAAGAAGTAAGAGGATAGAGGTAACAGCTAGAAACAAACAGTTTAGTAGGTGAAATAGCTGCGGTACATGAGCAGCACCGCTATCACCTGGAATCCAGATGATCACGAATAACTTGAATGAACTGCATTACTTTCTTCGCTTTTATATCGAGCTATAGGAGTGCTTAGGTTCGATTCAGGTCACTAGAAGCACAAAAAGCACTATAATGTTTCTTATGCTATCCGTCACTTGTACCTAATAGATAGGCAAGACCTTCCGAGTAATTAATTTCTGCGAGTGAAGATGTCGAGCGCATTTATTGGAGTGGACCCTTAACCGACAGTGCACATACCAGCTAGGCACGGCATTTGAGGCTACCACATTACCTGTCGCTTAGGGTTAGTAAACGAAATGCGTTTAAAATTTCGACGTCCGTCATCTAAGCAAGAAGAAGCGACACCCTCACACTGAAACACTTCAGCCAGACATGCAGTAAGTCACGCTAAGCGATAGAGCACAAGAAAAGAATAGCTCAAAATATGAAAATCATTTAAAAGAAAGTTGCTCGTTTTCAAAAGAACAAGTACAAATATTCCAATGTCCAAGTGTATTAGTCGTAATTAACTAAAAGTTATTCATATATGTTTAAATTTGGATTTCCCAGCCACTACTGCTCCTGCTCTTTGGTAGGAACAAAATGAACAAGGAACCTACACAACAACGCCTCTTAAATTGGCCGTCGAACAAGGTTTGGGTCATAATAAAGCAAATAGGTAATGGAGAATAGAAGGCAAAGAAAGTTCAAACAAAAAAGTGCCTGCCATAAGCCATTCGATGAACCACTTCTCCTTTCTGTAAATGAGGAACTGCTCAAAAAGAACATACGCCTGAAAACATCTGATTACGGCAGTTTCCGTAGAAGTATTTGCAGTAGAAAATCAAACCTAGTATTCCAGGACTGACCTTATCGTATCCAAGATCGACCAGGATCTTACATGGATTGTGCGCGATTCCTGCGATTGCTGAAACTGGCTTGTCACGCATAGGCTCATCCACGAACTCGTGGTGTTTCACAGACGGAGACATCCTCTGAGAAAGCAAGAAATGTTCAGTA